AAGTATTTATTTATGAATATACTTTTATTTCAGGGATCAAGATCTTGAGCCTGGTGCCCCTTCCATGGGAGCAAAAAGCCTCTGCATACCTTTCCAGCCTCTCCGTGAACTCCAGCGTGGAGAAAGATGTGTGTGCGGCAAAAACCCTGCCAAGTTTTACACCCTATTTGGTCGTAGTTACTAAATTATTAGTGGAAGAACCTTCCTCTTTATCTGTGAATTGAACTTTTTTTAATAAGACTGAAATAGCCCCTTAAACTTTAATCGGTTTTGTGACTTTTTACATAATTCAAAGACAAAGCCATAAACCATAACCCCCCACCCCAATTGTCAATCTTAGGCTAGCAGTAATTCACAGACTTTTCTGTAAACATCTCTAATAATAAACATGTATTGTGAGCTGTAATATGCTGTGGTGGTTTTTGCTGTGTTGCTCGGGGGGGGAGGAATAGGTACCCTTTGCTCATGTCTTTTTTTCTGTTTTGGTACATGTGGTTTTTTTGTGCATTGAGAAAATTCCTGAAAGATTGGAGAGAATGTCGTAAATACTACAGTTCAGTTTAGCATGCTACATCTACTTTATAGAGAAAATATCTCCTTTTAATTTTGCCTTTAAATCTTTCAGTTTTCAGTAGAGACTTGCTGCTAACCTGTAGGCATGGTAAATACTACCCTTTTTGCAAACTCCCTCTGGAGTCAGGTGTTTCAAGGACTATTTTCGTAGAAACATAGAATGGTTTGGGTTGGAAGGGACCTTAAAAATCATCTAGTTCTAACCTACCTGCCCTGGGTAGGGACACCTTCCATTAGACCAGGTTACTCAGAACCCCATCCAGCCTGGTCTTGAACACCTCTGGGAATGGGGAGTCCAGAACTTCTCTGGGCAACCCGTTCCAGTGCCTCACCACCTCTATAGTAAAGAATTTCTTCCTAATATCTAATCTGAACCTACCCTATTTCAGTTTAAAGCCATTCCCTCTTGTCCTATCACTACCTGCTCATGTAAAATGTCCCTCTCCAGCTTTGTTGTAGGCTCCCTTGGGGTACTGAAAGATACTTTGAGGTCTATCTGAAGACTTGTCTTCTCCAAGCTGAACAACCCCAATTCTCTCAGCCTGTCCTCACAGGAAAGGTACTCCAGCCCTCTGAGCATTTTTGTGGCCTTCTCTTGACTCTCTCCAGCAGGTCCATGTCTGTCTTTTGTTGGGAACCCCAGAACTGGATGCAGTACTCCAGGTGGGATCTCGCAAGAGCAGAGGTAGAGGGGAGAATCACCTCCCAAATTTTCACCCCATTGTAAAACAAGTTTGAAAGGCTTTCTTAGATTAAATGCCACATTGTTAGCAAGATGCAGGTGGATGCCATTTCTTCCAGATATTTTGCAAAGCCTGTTTCTCTTATTTTATAAACTGGCCTTTATAGCTGTCTGAGAGTGACACTGCAAAGGCAGAGGTAATGCAGAGAGAGGTATTTTCCATGCTAAATATTTTAGGCTGTGGTTGTATCTACAGCATATTTCATAAATTTTTTTTTTACTTTTCCTGTACTTGCTAAGTGTTGCTTTAGCAGAGGAGGCTGGATGTCACAGAGTTATGAAATTATTTTAAAAATAACATTGCTTCCACTTTGGGCACAAGATTGGCTTTAAAAAAAAAAAAAAAGATAGCCCTGGCACAAAATAACTTTTGGAAGATATATGCATAATGTATTAGGTTTTTTTCTCCTGTATGGTTTTAAGGCTGTCTATACAAACCCCCTTCCCTGAAAATTGTTGAGTAAAAATCTGGCAATTAAAAAGTTGGACTAGTAAGATCCTCCCCCAACTCTTACTGGGACAATACTTGGTGGCTGCCTGTTCCAAACCCCTACTTTTATGTAGTAGCCATAGACTGAAGCATACAGGAGACTTACAGAATGCTATTCCCAGATCTTCACCCCCCTCTGCTTTTCAAAAGCATGCAAAATATTTGCTTTTCCTTGGATCCCTGTGGTCAGCCTTCCTGGTCGAAATTTTGAATATTAAATTTGAACCAGTGGCCTGTCCAGTTTAGGATCATGCACCTTGTGATAGTACCCCAATTTTCCCACAGAAAAGTACAAAACTGGTTAAATATTTCAGATCAGCTTGATCAGAGTGTTTGAACACTTAGAAATTCTCTGTAATATTCCTTGTGTGATGGTTAGTCCTGAAGAGTTTGCTTCAGTTGCATCTTAAGACCAGTGCATGCATTCATCTTTGGTTTCAGTTGACAAACCAGAGGAGTGTCCCTAAAGGGCTACTCTGTTCTGGTAGAGGTCTCTCCTGGGATGCTGCCTTTAATGCTGGCTGGGATTGTACTTTGAGAAAGAGGGTGAATAGTAACATCAGAGTGATGTTTTCACAGCCTGAAATGACGAGTAAGAGTAGCCTTTAGAGGGATTGCCGTGGCAGCTCTCTGGTGCTGGGGAAGGGGAAAGGCAGCAACCCTCAGCTTCAATGTCTGCAGGTGTAAGAGACAGGAGTGTGCCAAGGTTTTTTGACAGAGCAAACCAGATTTCTAAGAGTAGATGAGCTCTTTCAACTCCCATTGAAATGCTCTACAACACCCATATTCCAAATGAGTGGAAGCTCTTAAAGCTCAGAACAAAAAAAAAAGGCAAAACTAAATGCAGCCTCTAACAGTGCTGCAGCCTTATCAGTTTGAACAAACAACCAACCTTCAACCAGTTGATCAAATTCATGAGTAAACATGTTGACACACTGTTCTTAGAAATGAGTTGCTCTGAACCTAAGGATGGGTTGATTTGAAGCCAGAGACTTCAGGGAAGGCCAGCCCTTGCTTTTTCTTTTGTTTTTCCCTTACTTTTCCCAAACATGTTTCTTCCTGGCCATAGTAAATGCCTGGAATGTGGATGACTCAAGTGCAGATCTCCCTGTGATTATCTTCCACAGGGAGGCTAATGTTTGCCTAGGAGAGATAATGTTCATGTCAAGTATCCTTTCAACAAAAGCACAATCTGAGCTATCTATGAAGCATTATAGAAAGAAACTTTCAGACTCTTAATAGATTGTCTGTTAGAAAAATAGGTGTATGAATTGGAATAATACACCACTGTTGATTAAATAATACTGCTTTATGTTTATAATAGAATTGCAAATTTCATGATGTTCCTTAGTTCTTGTATATTGATAAATTTGGCTTGAATAGTAAGGGGGAATGTAAGGGAACTGCCTTAACACAGTGCTAGCATCTCCTTATTAAAAAATAGAGCACAGGTAAGCAAAGGAAGTGCTTCATTTAGCTCTTGTTTTGGTAATCTCAGCCTTGTGTAAGGCAGGAATTTTAAGATCTCTGAACTTTGAACTTCGACTGTTCCCACTGAAAGGAGAATAACTTGAAAAAAAATTCTCACTTTTCATGTTCTGTAGTTAAGATAATAAAATACATAGCTAAACATCACTAATACAAGAAGGAAAAAACTACTATAGAAATAGCTGGAATAGAAGTAGTAACACAGGTGGGACACGATGAAGAGGAAGAGGAATAGATACCAGTTTTCAATTTTATAATTAGTTCTACTAATTCACCCTTCCAGGGTTAATAATGGTGTTCTTAAAGTGAAGGGGAGGGAAACCTCCAAGTTACAGCTGCAGTGTGTAGGTAGACAAATGACTAAATGTTAAAAAATTACATGTATTGACAGTCAAGACTTCTAACAAACTGGACTTCAAACATAAATATTTTGGCAGTTGAAACCCTGTGAGCAAAAATCCAGATGAAAATTGGGGGTGGGTGTTTGAATTTTTAATGTGAAGTTAATTCACCTTGGGAAGTGTGAGGTCAGCAGGGACAGTTGGTTAGCTCAGGTTATCAGTATTATTGTCTTATCTCTCCAGGGCTGTACTGCATGTAATTTTCTTCCGTTTTAACTGTGTATATATGTACAAAGATGGGCATTTTAAACAAAAAGCTGGAGCACAAGCTTTTCAGGAAGGCACGTGGTCTTATGGCCCATATTGCCTAGTGTGCTACAGATTTTCTTCGCTGCAGTTTCTGAGTATGTGTTAACTATCGGGAGCTCAAGAGGCACTACAATGAGGGACAAAAAATGCTACTGCTTCAGGATATTACTCTGTTCCAGAAATGGCACAAAGTACAAGCAAGGACTTCAGCAGCTCTTATTTCCCCCTTAATTTCTGGTTGTGCTTTCCTCAACTCTGACTTTTCTGTGCAAGCCTATGAGGCTTACTTTGGGATTTTGAGATAGGCAGGGTATTCTAAATGGGAAATAAACAATGTGGTTTATTGTTAAGCCTCAGCTTCCACGTGTACTGGCTGTTTGTTTAGCAAATAACCTCCAAATTTTCTCCATTTCCATGGGCAATGTTAAAACATGACAAAAGAAGAAGTTGAATAGTTGTTGTACTAGGTTGCTAAAATGAAAGATGAATTCAGTTGTCTTTGAAGCTTGCTCTTTGTACGACATCTTCAGTGACTCTCACAGATTTAATATGCTCTTACAAATAATGTCCACTCAACATGGATTTAAAATGTCTTCTTCCACAGGTATGTAGTAAGATTTTTTTCAGTATTAAAATTATTGCCAACAGAAATGGCAGAAACAAACATGAGAGGAGAGTTTTGTGCAAAAGAGAGGCCTTGTCTAACCACTTAAAATTCTGAGCCACCTTCTTATGCTCTCGGCCTTATTCAGCTTTTTAGGACACTGCCACTCAGTAGAGTAGCAATGCTGGTGCTCCCAGTAGTCTCCCTTGGCTCATTTTTGGTTTTGTAGGAAAAAAAGCCTCCTGAGGGTGGAACACCTGCAGGACTGGAGCCCTCAGGCTGCCTTCACATGACAAATCTTGCTAAACTGCCCTTTAAACTGATTTATTGCTTTACTGCTTCCTATAAATGTGGCTCCCACATGTGAGCAGCACTGGCAGAATCACAGGCAGTGAGTTGCTCCTCACGCAGCTCTGTCTTGCTGAACCTGGGAGTGAGAAGAGAGCAGCAGAAATGGGCCGCTACTCGGGCCGGAGCATGAGGCTCATCGCCATGTGTGTGCTGAGCCTTGTCATTTTTGCTGTTGAGATCTCCGTAGCCTACGTGGGCAATTCTCTTTCCTTAGCCTCAGATGCCTTTGCTGTTCTCTCTCACCTGATCTCCATGATCATCGGTTTGTTCGGCGTCAGGTTCAGCCGCATCAAGTGGCACAAGGACAGCACTTTCGGCTTCAGCCGAGCAGACGTGCTGGGAGCTTTTGGCAACTCTGTTTTTGCCACTGCTCTGATGTTCAGCATCTTCGTTGAGGCTATCAAGAGGTTTATCAATCCTCAGAAGACTGAGAAAGTACTGCTCGTCCTCATTATCGGGGTTTCAGGTCTACTCCTCAATGTGTTAAACTACGTTATCTTCATGGACTGCTGTTATTGTCGTGCATCCCGCGGAGACACTGAAACAGGTAAATAGCCTCATGCGGTTCCTCAGCGTTCCCAGCCCTCTACAGTTCTGCTTAATGACTCTTATAAAGACTGTTTACTGCTTCTCTGAGATGGGCATGTAAAACATAGTTTTCTTCATTCTTTTGTTAGTGAGGGTAGTGGATTTTGTGCCTGAACCCATGCATGTTTCCAGTTACCACCATATGTGTTTATCAGTAAGTAACGTGCAAGCAGTGTATGTATTGTCTTTCTAAAGTGATCTGCGGGAGTACAGTGATCTGCAGGAGAAATTTTCTCCCTAATCCACTGGCTGGCCAAACAAGGGACAAAACATACTGCCACCCTGAGGAGATACTTGTTATGAAATACCTAATCCTGAAATATCAGTCATCCACAGTCTGCACTCTCAATATTTTAGTAATTCTGCTATAAATTTTGTCAAAGATGTGGTTATCTTTGAGCAGTGTTCACAGTTTGTATGAGATAAGAGAATAGGTAACGGCAAGAGAAGAGTCTCAGCCTTCCTTGGTTTGGGAATATGTTGTGAGACTATCTGGATGCTGACTGAAAAACGGAGCTGAAGTATTCTTTGCTGATGTTTGTTAACCTGTGCTTGGGAAAGCATGCAGAGGAAAAACAGGTTCTCTGCTACAGAAATCTTTTGCAGAAGGTTCTGTTCGATGCACAGAGGTTTGGCCTTTTAGTTTATTTGTCCTAGCATAGGAATTTAAAATTTCTTCATTTGGGAGGAGAAATGGGGACTGTTTTTCTCATTCCCGCAGCAGCTATTTCACTTTCTTTGATGCATGACACATGCGAGTTCTTCTTCTCTCTGTATGTTTTTATATACACATACAAACATATTTCTTAAGAATAGTAATATTTCAGTTGAGATAGGAGCCAGATATTTGCAAAGTGTTACCTGGATGTGTTGTGGGGAAAGCTGAGAGACCCCACCTGAAAAAGCAGCTTCTGTTATATGCTGTTATATACTGCTCTAGCTGAGGTGAGGTAAGTCCTATGTTTGACTTCCAGGTTTTGGAATTAGAAATTAAAAAACTGATAGTTTATATTTTAGTGTTTAATGTGTTTTGGTTTAGGTCTTGAATTGGAAAATGTTTCTGTTCATTATTAAAAGTACCTGCAGATCATATTGAAGCTTTAACTTTCCTGGTGTATAACATTAAACCCAAATGCATAAGTGATATTGATGCCTGTGTGTTTAGATGCCCAACTATTTAACATTTGAGCTACTTTTAGACTACATTTGTGGTGATATGTAATTAGCTGAGGGATTTAATAGGCTTTTGTGTTGGGAACTGTCAGCAATTCCTGACAAAGTCTTTGTTTATGGTGACTTCTTGGAAGGCAGCTTCTGAAACTGTGCTTCTAGGTGATGTCAGGGAGGAGGAACACATCAGCACTTATAAGGAAATTAACTGAAATTAATGGCAACTGTGCAGCTAAATGATGTTCTCACTGAATTTCCAGGATCCTACTCCTAATAAATCTCTGGGACAACACAGCCATCCCTCTCTGTCCAATAGACTTTTGTCCAAATACCTGGTAATTCCACTTTGCTTTCAACTGAATTTAAGTTGCACGAACCATGGATGAATTTCGTACCATCCCATAAATATAGTGTGTAGATTAGCTGGTGATTTTACCTCTCTGTTTCTGGTATGGTGAAACTTCCCTGCTTGCAGTACTGCCTACAGGTAAGATAATGCCATTTTATACTGAAGGGAATGCTCTTTTCTTCTGGACTTAATTTTGTAATTCCCACTTTGGTAAAATTTCACATTTATTTCCACTAATTCTCTCTGTATTCAACCTGAGTAGGATTTTTATTACTTTTCTTTCAGAAGAAATGTTATTCCCCAAATAGCTGTACTCTGAAAAGTATACTCACGTGCTCTATATATATATTATGTATTAAAAAATGTGGAAAAAAGGGATTCCATATCTCTTTTGTCATCATACCTATGAGGAAAATATGCTCTTTCCTGAAGATGGGAGTCAAGGCAAATTTTCTAGTGCATCAGCACCAGAAATTCAAGCAGATGGGCATGGTTTCTGAATCCTGCTGATGCAGTCCAGCTGTCCATAGTGACACCTGAGGAGTCTCCTCACATGGTTCACTGAAAGGTAAAGATTTTTAGAGTAGCCCTCTACCTCCTAGGCTTTCTAGGGAAAGGGGACAATTGCCTTCATATCTCTGTTCCCGAAATAGGAATAGATTTAAACAGCCCTCTTTTCTCTTGTTTGTGATTGTCTGAAAAACACAAAGCAAAGAAGAAATAGAGTGGTTCAGTTGTCCAGTGCTGTATTGTGGGTGCTGAGGGCAGCAGGAGCATCTAAATCCACTGAAAAAAATTCTTCCTCCTGTATTAATGCCACAATTAATCACCACAGTCAACAGTTCATCTCATTTCTCTGTTGCATGGTCTGCCATCAGGGATGGAAAATTAGCTGGTGGGTTTCCTGGATGCTGCTGACAGCAGTGGCAGAGTGAGATGTGCCTACAATGAGCCTTGGTAGTCAGGTCTGGGCACTGAGTGAGGTGTTTACAGGTACCAACTCAGCTCTCCATCCTTTTCCCTTGTTCTACATCTGTACTCCTCGTTTAACTCATTGCAACATCCATACCTCAGGGGCTCATCTTAGTACAAATATTCTTGTTAAGTAAGTTTTTCCAAGTTGCCATCTCTGCTTACCCAGACAGAGCCAATTCCCTCCTCCACCCATTGACTAGGCTTGTTTTGCCTCTCATCCCTTACTCTTCTGTCCCTCACCCTTCTCTTTTTTCTGGTTCTTGCTACCCTTTTCCTCTGTGTCCTACTTCCTAAGTCTTCATCTACTGCCATTCCCTTTGTTTCTCTCTCTGTTGTGCAAATTCCTGTCTGTCTCCTCTGCCAGCTGTAAGCACCTTTGTCTTCCCACCTGACTGAATTAAGGTCTCTCTGTCCCGTAGGTCCATCTTTGCACTTGATTCAGACAAGTGTAGTTCCACACACTATGTTAGGACTAGGAGGAGAGGTCAGCAAGAGTACAGGGAGGACGTGCCCCTGTTCTTTCTTTTGATGCTGAACAAGAGCAACTTACTACAGGTATAACAATATTTCTACTGTCTCTAAAGGAACTGCTGGGCCATCCATGGCAGAGGTCATCATAGACTAGTTATTGCTTTGACTTGAAATCCAGGAAATACTTGTCAAAACAGGGGAAAATTAAAGCTTCCCCAGAAAACTTTTCCTAGGAGTTAAAATTCACAAAAGATTTTTCTTGCTGCTGGAAATGACAGAGCAACTTTAGCCAGAGTTTTCTGACAATTTCGAAATCTTGTATCTTATGCAGAAAGTTTTGGCACAAAGGTGAAGAATATGCCAAAGTAATTAGCAGCTGAAAAAAAATTATGCTCTTACAATAAATACCAGACAATTTTAATACTGGCCATGCCCTTTATAGTAAGTCATAAAAATACAGAAGCCTGTTTTACTGCACACAGTGATCCAATTACTCTTGTTCATGTAGGTCAGTGTAACTGTCTCTTCTACTCATTTATACACAGTTTTAAACTGTTAGAGGGATCGCAGTTTGGAAAGCACCGCGTTAGTCTGATTATAATAATTCTCTGTTGTTTGTCTTGAGAAAATTAATAAAGATTTAACATGAACAAAACATTTGTTCTGTCGTTTTGTGATCTGTACAGGGAGGTGGGGGGAAGTAGGAAATAAAAATGTCACCCGGCCCAACCCATCTGACACTAAGCCATCCATAAAAAGTCCGGGACCTGTGAGAAACAGCTCTCATCTTCTCATGAGAGACCTCATGGTCTTTGCACAGCTCACAGTTCAGTAAATAAAACACATTCTGTGTTAGCAGCCAAGTGGCTTGCTTTTATGTTCCCCTTTGTACAATTTACTGGGTATGTGCATGAGCTTTTTGCGTGGTAACACTGCTGGATCTTGGTTCTCCTATCTCAGTGTGCACCAGCAGCCTTCCTCTCAGATCAGAGGTGGCATGTAAGCTAGCAGCCACTTAAATGCAGAACACACCTTCTTTCTCCTTCTGGACCTATGCAGTGAGTTTGTTTATTCTGAGGCTTGCTGTGAGGCGTATCTTTTTTTTTCCAGGCTTTTGTAATTAGGAGAGATTTTGGGCTATACATGTGTGAATGAAGAGAGGCACTAGCCTTAAATGCCTAGGTGACTTGGGAAGGCTGCATTGAAGTTATATTCTGAATTAGATTTTCACAGCTGTTGTTGCAAACATACTGATTCCAGGAGAAGTGAGGACATTTATAGGTCAAAATAAGTGGATAAATGGCTGCTTAACCTGCATCTTAATGCCATAGACCTTCCCAGTGGAGACCTAGTGAGCTAAAGTGTGCAGGTATCAAAAAGCAATTTTAAATGTAGTGGTGCTCTCCAGTTGAACAGACCCAACAACCCATAGTGCAGATGGCAAAAATGGTCTGGGAATTAGAGTTCCAGAATAGAGGGTTTCAGTTTCTGAGGTTGTCAGTGTGATCATTAAGTTCACCCACATCTAAGAAGAAAAAAATAAGTTCCCTGATTGGAACAGGTTTCTCTCTCAAGTGCACTGCTGAAAGGGTGACAGACTTTGCCAGTCTGATGACCCAGAGGCCTTTGTAAGGAATGAGAAGGAACACCTGTAATGCCAGACTCTGGCCTACTGTGTTTTTCACACCTGAAAAGCCTAAAAGCATATCCTCAAGATCAGCATTACTCTGTGCTGCCTCTCTTTTGAGTCTATCTTCACCAGATTGATACTATTTTTCCCTGAAAGCACTAGCTCTTCAGTAAACTCTTCATGCCAATTCATCCTCTGACTGCATTCATACAGATGATTGTCAAATGTGCAGCACCAGAGTTTACCAAGAGACAGTTGCTTCACTCACACAGTGCATCCTCATCCTCAGGATTTATGCTGCCTGGGTAGTGCACTGTAGCATCCAACTCCTAAATGTTTGACAACATAGTATGCACAAATGAAGGGATGTATGCTTTATGTGTCTATTTCCATAAATCCCAGAGGTGTTAATGTGTTGTCATGTAGGTAACCAAACCTACTATAACTAAATATTTAGATTATATGGCTTTGAGCTCTACAGCACTGCTAGATGTAGTTCTCTCAAACTGAGAAAAAAGGCCAAGAGGCACTCTCAAAG